AAAAAAAAAAAAAAAAAAAAAAAAAAAAAAATTGATGCTTTCCACCTGAGGTTAGCCAGTTTGAAAATTGAAATAGAAATATGTCATGGTTGACAAACTTCCTGAAAAGTTATCTACTTTCCTGGTCTCCGTTCCTCTCACCCCACTTCCTCTTCCACCCATTCTAACCTGGCTCCTACTCCCACCTGTCTCATAAAACTGTACCCACTTTGGCCAACAGTAGCCTCCTGGATCATTGTTATGCCTACGTATCTTATCAGAAGCATCAGAAATACTGCTAGATCTCTCTCATGCGTACTCCTCCTTCTTACTTTATTAATGGTGCCCCCAACCACTTACTCAAGGACAGCACTCGTTGGCTTTTCCACAGATGGAACAAAAAACCTGACATGTGCAACTTTAAGGAGAAAAGGTTTATTTTTGTTTTGGGGGTTTCTTTGTGTTTTGGAGGGGTTTTATTTTGCTTTTGTTTGGTTTGGTTTGGTTTGCTCCTGGAGATTGAACTCGGGGCCTTGTGCTTGTGAGGCAAGTGGCAGAACCACTGAGCTAAATCCCCAGCCTGAAAATGTTTATTTTGGCACACAATTTCAGAAGCTTTGGTCCATGGTCAGCAGGCTCCAAACCAGAAATATCATGATGGAAGAGTATAGCTGAGGAAAGCAGCCGACCCATGGTAGCCAGGATACAGAGAGAGCAGGAAGAAAACCAGAGAGAGAGAGGAGAAGGCGTCCACCTCCTCCAACCAGGTCCGACTTCCTAACAGCCCATTCAGTGCCCTTGTGATCCAACTGCCTTCCAAAAGCCTGACCTCTGAACACGAGACTTTGGGGGACGTGTTAGATCTAAACCAGAACAAGGACCACGAAGAGAGCTGGTGGTCATCTTTGTCTTCTCTCAGCCCCTATACTCACCAAGTCCTGTCCCCCACTTCCTCCAAAGGACACCTAGCAGCCAACCCCTTCCCCCTCCTCCGCTGATCCTGTCCTGGTCTGGCCACTCTTGCCTCTCACAGCACCACACACACCATCCCAATCTATCTACTTCCCATGTCTACGCCTTGTCTCTGCATCTGCTCTTCATCTCTTGTTCCCTGCAATCTGTCCTCACCACAGGAGCACCAGGCCAAGCTGCCTAGAGTCTCTCTCCCTTCTGCTTTATCACTACTCTCCAAATAAAGTCAGAGCAGGTTCGCTTGGCAAATAACCCTATGCATCACTTCCTCTTTCTTAAAACAATATCACTTAGCTTCCAAAATACCGCTCCAGTTTTTCTCCACCTCACTAGCTACTTCTCATTTTTCCTTGCTAGACTCTTACAACACCCCCACCTCCACCACTAAGCTCTGAAAAATATGAAATGCTTTAGGGGGCACTCCTTGGTCTTTTTCTTTGCTTTCCTTTTCTTCATTCCTTCTTTCAGTCTCATGGCTTTAAGTATCTCTATGCCAATGACTGCCAACTTTATATCTCAAAATCCACCCTCTTCCTTGAAATACAGACTCATATAGCCAACTGTCTATTCCACGTCTCCTAGATCTCTAGTAGACACCCCAAACTTCACTTCCAAACTTCAGTTCTTCCTCTTCATGTCCATGCTGTGCTCTTCCCCAACCTTTCCCCTCTGTTGAAGGTAACTTCATCCCTCCGTGTGCCAAAGCCCACACCCTTGGAATACACCTTGGATCTGATCTTTTTCTAACATCGCCACTCCACCCATTACCAAGATCTGCTAGCTTTGTAGTCAAAATATATTGTAGGCAATGGGCCAGAACCTCTGCAATGGGTTCTGGCCTCCTGTGAGCCACCCCAGAAAAAGGCAAATTAAAGAATAGACAGGAAATTAGACTTAGAATGAAGAATCTGGATCTTGGGACCTGATCAGTGCTGCTGATGGCAACAAAAACAAAGCCACCCCCCACCAAGCACATCCCATATTTATTGAATAAAATCATGCGAAGAAATAGGGAGCAGAGTATTCTCTGAAGGCATCTAATGAAATACTGCTGGACATCTAGCGTGACGGCACCAGGCAGGGCTGTTAGGAAATAAGCACTGCTTATCTTGCTTGGATAGAACAAACAAATAGGTACTGGGACCAGGTGCAATCAGCAATCAACCTGTCGGGTCAGTGAGAAGCCACAATTCAGGGGAGAGGATTTTAGTCAGAGCCGTGCTGATCTCAGCTATACGTAACTCAGCAGAGCCCGGCCACTCCACAGACCAGGGCCTGGGTTTCCATAGCGGCCATTGGGGGAGCGGCTATCCTCGTCCGGTCCGCCATCTGATGTGCCCATCTGAGTCACACAGAGCTTCAGCCTGACTCCTGATATAAAGCAGTATAGCCAAATTATGGAAAGCAAGAACTAGGTGCCTCTTATAACCGGCTAGTACTGGTCAGGGATGTCTGCTACAATATATCTCGTGAAACGATACGTCTGTGATTTCCTTCCAAATAATACATAAAAGCGGAAGGGAAGGCTGAGCACGGTGGCTCACGCCTATAATCCCAGCACTTGAGAGGCTGAGGCAGGAAGATCGCCGCCCATTCGAGACCATCCTTTGTCAGAGTCCGTTACCTGTCTTCCGTTGAACTGAACTGCTGTTTTCCTTTCTGTTTCCTGGCTTTTGAGGGATTTTTGTTAGATTTTATGCTGCTAGTTTCCCACCTCGCTGTCCATAACTTGCTTTCTATATAAGGTAACGAATGCTTCACTGCTTTCGTTTCAGGCTTTACACAGCTAAGTCGCCTAGCGGGGCCCAGCCTAAGATGCGGTTTCTCATTTGTCCTCCCCTGTGGTTTGTTTCCAGTTGTGTGACATTGTCAGGGCCCCCGCCTGCTGCCTCGGCACCTCCTGCTCTACGGCATGGGTGTCATGGGCCGTAGCTGACCACAGTCTGGCCTGCTGATGCCTCAACAATGATCAAGCTATAGATAATCTTCTTTTAATTATAATTCATCCATATTTTCCCTTCTGTATTTTTTTTTTTTTTTTGAGACAGGGTATGCAGTTCATGCTGACCTTTAACTCACTAGGTAGCCCAGGATGGTCTCGAATGGGCGGCGATCTTCCTGCCCCCACTTACATGTTTACTTTGGTCTGTACACCTTTGAAAAAATAAGCTTGTTATGTAAAATCAAAACTAATTGTTGGAGCTGAGTGACGGAACATGGAGATACTGCACGTGATTTCAGTTTTGTTTATGTCTGAAATACTCCACTCTATCCACCTTCCCTGCCACCACCTTATCCGAGCAGCTGGAGCTCTGGCCGGGCCTGCTGCCAGACTCCGGGTCTCTCTCACCTGCACTCCCAGCCCCTGCTCTTAATCTAATGCCCCCCACAGCTCATGCACTGTCAGGCCACACCCCTCTTCTGCTCAAAACATCCAACAGCTCCCCCACTTCCTTCAGAATAAAGCCAAAATCTTAATGGCTTCAAGATGCTATTTACCTCCCTGCCCTCTACTACGCAGCCCCAGCCCCCTTTTGACTCTCCCCTTCATCATTTCATTTAAGGCACAATAAATGGTGTTCCTCAAACCCACCAACCACGTGACTATCATGGGGCCTTTGCACATGCCGCTCATCCTGCCACCAAAGATCCTCTTCCCCCTCATACGTGTGGCTTGCTCTTCTCTTCCTTCATGTCTTTGCTCAGATGTCTCCTTTTCAAGGAAGCCTTTTCCGACCACCTTATAGTGTAACACTGAACACATAAACACCACCACCCACACGGAACCTATTCACCTTTTTCTCCACCTGGCCCGTTTTATTCCTGTCCTCTTACCATCAGATGCAAGCTGATGTGTATTCACTGCACTGCCTGGCATAGAGTGGTTGCCCAGTAAGTCTTTACTGAATGAATAAATACCTGCATGAAGGAGCAAATGAGTGAACAGCATCCATAATGCAACCCCTACCCTCCTATCCAGGTACAGCTCTCACCTAAGCCCCCCTCCCCGCCCAGTGCTGAACAATACTCAACGCCCGAGTCCCTGACTCACAAGCGCCAGGACTGTTCAACTAGAGACTTGTCAGCCTTTGGCCCTGCTCGGCCCTCTTCCTCCTCCCTGGATCTTGTCCTTAAGATTCCTCTCAATCGGGGGCTGGGAATTTAGCTCAGTGGTTCCACCACCTGCCTCATAAGTGCACGGACCCGAGTTCGATCCCCGGTACCAAAACAACAACAAGATTCCTGTCAATCAGATGTCAGGTGACATCACCTGTTATTCAAAGCGATCCTTCTGCCTGAGTTCGTTCCCACCAGGTTTCTGTGGCCTTTTTCTGACCCAGCACACCTCTCACTGAACTGTAGGAGTCTACCCGTTGTTCTGGGAACCCTTTGGGGTAACAGCTTGGGATTCTTAGCAAAATCTCGCATCCAGCAGTCCCTCAAGAATGTTTAGTGAATGAATAAAGATTTTTTCATTGACCAAGGGGTTTCTGTGCTCAGTATTTTCATACTTCCTCATCAGCCCAGCTTTACGGGGTGGGGACTATTACCTAATCCACCTATGAATAAAAATTGTGAGAGCCAGAGAGGTCAAGCATCTGGTAAGGGGCACACTGGAATTCAACGTAGAGGTCTCACTCCTCACCGGCTCCAGGATTCAGTGCCTTGTCTTTCTCCGTCCCTTAGGACAGGTTGAGGTAGTTGGAACGACTGACCCCATCCAACTCTAAACATACTGGGCGTTGTGCCTCTCCTAAGGTCTGGACTCAAGCCAATTTCAGTTTCCAAACGTCAAAAGAAGGAAACTCTCAAAGTAGAGAATCGAAACCAAAGGCAGAAAGGTTGGCTGGATGCCAGCCTTGTTAAGGTGGCCCCAGATCTGCCAGCCTCAGCCAGGTGTCCTACAGGCCATCTGTCGCAGCTAGAGCTTTCCAAGGAGCCACACACTTGGCACATTCAACGCTGGGTTCCTCTCTTTTCGGGTCCTTTACCCTCAGGGTACTGGAGTTCAGTTGGAGAGGAGCCTCCTTAAAAAAAGGGGGTGTGTGGGCCAGGAGCCAGTGAGTGACTGGCTATATATCTGTCCAGGAGTGGGACTCTCAGCAGAGATGGCCCTGGCCCACGACCTCTATGGCACCCCAGCCTCCAGGCTGGACTCCTTCGTGGCTCAGTGGCTGCAGCCCAGCCGGAAATGGAAAGAAGAGGTGCTGGAGGCGGTGCGCACGGTGGAGCAGTTCCTGAGGCAGGAGTTCTTCTCCTGGGAGAGAGGGCTGGACCAGGAGGTGCAGGTGCTGAAGGTGGTCAAGGTGAGACCAGCCCTCTCCCTCCCCAGCCAGGGCAGGGCAAAACTCACTGTGGGAGGCCACATCCCCAAGGATGCTGGGGTCCCCTTGCCTCGTTATCCTTAGCCCATGCTGCTGATATCTCAAGATACTTTTCTACTGTTTATGTTCCACTCTACCCCTTGTTAGCTATTGACACCCCCACTGCACTGCTGTCTTGAGCAGAACACCCAGTAAGGAAACTAATACTAAGAGACCATATTTGGGAGTGTGTTACGGCTTGTGTCTAGGTGTCCCCCCCTCAAAGCCTCATGCAGTTACAGGTGGGGATTTTTTCAGAGATGGCTGGATTTAGAATGTGTGTCACTGAGGTGGGTTCATGGCGCCATGCTAGTATGCAGGGCACTTGGATTAAGGGTGTGGGTGCTGCCTGCCCTAAGTAGCCTGAGTAATATATAAGGGATAGAAAGAACTGTGGTCGATCCATGTTGATTCGCTATGATCTGCTTGCTGTGAGCTGTTTCTCCTCTCCCATAACATTCTGCCCTGGAGCCACCAATCACAGACCAAGACCTGCACAAACTGTGAGCTAAATAAATCTTTACTCCTTTAACCTTGGGTGTCGGGTATTTTGTCTCAGCAATGAGAAAAGTAACTAAGACAGGATATAATCTTCTAATCTCTTAACATTTTTATCTCTAATTCTAGTACCCTTTGAGGCAGATAGATTTTTTTTTTTTTTTCATTTTACAGAAGAGCAAAATGGAGACTCGGAGACTTAAGATTCATAAGGATCGAATGCAATGCAAGCTCTTTGATTGGATCCTGATATGAATAAGTCATCTGTGTAATGCATAGCTCGGGGACAATGGAGAAATTTTGATATGGCCTGGATATTAGATATTATGAGTGATTTCACTCATTGTAATAGTATCTTTATGGATAGAGAGAGAATGTCCTCTTTTTTTTTGAGGTGACACAAATGCTAAAGTATTTAGGGGTAAAGTTCCACCCTGTCTATTATTTATTTGAAGGGACAAAGTTTTGTGCTCTCTGTAACTTAATTTAAGGTGGTTTAGATGAAACAAATGTGGCAAGAAGATTAGACATGTTGAACCTAACTGGTTGGGTACATAAGTGCTCTTTGTATTTTCTTTCTATTTTTCTATTTGTTTTAAAATTGGGTTAATAAAATAATTTTATAGTGGAGGCTCAGAAAGAGGAGGTGTCTTGCCCAAGGTCGCATAGGTAGTGGGTTTGAATTTGTCTCCATAACCAAGGATCTAGGCTCCTCCACTGAGATTTTCTCTAAACTCTTCCTCCAGCTGTCTCATACCATCTACTATGCTAGCTAGGATCAGAACTCAAGAAGTTTCTTGATTGGGATTGGGATTGGGTGGTGCACACCTGCAATCCCAGCACTCTAGGAGGCCGAGGTAGATGGATCATGAATTCAAGCCCAGCCTGAGCAACTTAGCTACTTAGCAAGACATTGTCTCAAAATAAAAAATAATAAGGGCTGGGGATGTAGTTCACTACAAAGACCTTGGGTTCAATCCCCAGTACTGGAAAAAAAATTTTTTTTTGTTTTTGTTTTAAGAGGTCCGTAGTTTAAAAGGCCCTGAAGAACCAGAAAATCAGCCACTCCTTCATTTAAACTTTAAAGAAACTGACACACAGACCAGGTGAGAGATGGACCAACGTCACGCAGCAAGGTGATGGCAAAGCAAGACTAGAATTCGGGCTGCAAACCCCCAGGTCAGGGCTCTATGGGAAGCCAAGCCAGAAAAGGATTCAGCAACCTTGGGCTAAATCCCATCTTCACACCTTCCCCAGCATCTGGAGCCTGAGGCTGAAACTCACAAATTTTGACATCAGACAGATCTGGATTTGACTCTGCCTTTTTTTTTTTTTTCTTGCCAGCTGTGTAGCCTTGCTAGTTCCACCTTATCTCTCAAACTCTTAGTCCTGATCTGGGATTGGGACATGGTCTTGGTCATCCTTTCTCCTTCGCCAAACAGCCTGAGAAGTGCCAGCTAAATGATCGGCAGCGCAGGGCAAATGTCTCAAAGCAGAAACATCACTGTTATTCTTACCCGAGACTTCTGCTGGGCCTGGGAAACGTGGGCATTCACGTGTACAAGTGCACACATGCACACTCACACAAACACACACAGAGACGTGCACGCGCACACACCTCCCCCAGGCAGTGGGGTTCAAGCCCAGCTTGGACAGCTCGGCAACTGAGACCCTGGCTCAAAATAACAATAACAACCCTGGGGGAAAAGTGGGTGAAATGGGAGAAGTCTGGACATAGGAGGGTGTTGCAAAGGGAGTGATTTGGACAGCCGGAAGAGAGAAAGGATAATCTAAACCTGGCTCTGAGAGCAATCACCCTAACCCACGCACAGCTACCCCATGCTCTCTCTCTCACAGGGGGCAGAAATGCTGAGTCAGAATCCAGTGGGAAGAGAGAATGGAAAGCGAAAGGGAAACCGGGCACGGTGGTGCACACCAGTAACCCCAGTCCTCGGGGAGCTGAGGCAGGAGGGTGGCTAAATCAAGCCCAGCCTGGGCGACTTCAAAACCAACCAAGACCCTGTTTCCAAATAAAACAGATAAGGCTGAGGATGTAGCTCAATACAAAGACCCTGGATTCCATCCACAATATTGAAAAAAGAGAGAGAGAAGAAAAGAGGAAAGCTATGGAGCATCTCCTCCATTCCTGGAGTGGGGCATGGCATATATATATAGGAAGAAAGGGGAGGAAGGGCCACCCATTCCTCATCTTCTGATTCTTCACCTTGACTTCCTGGATGGCTGGAAGACCATGGTAAATCGACTCCCCCACACTGCCTCAATATTCTTTTTTTTTCTTCTACTCCTCCTTTGCCTTCTCCTTCTCCTTCTTCTTCTTGTACTGAGGATTGAACCCAGGGCCTTTGTACTGAGCTACATCCACAGCCCATTTTTAAAAATTATTTATTTTGAGACAGGATCCTGCTAAATCGTCCAGGCAAAGCTTAAACTTGCCATCCTCCTGCCTCAGCCTCCCAGACAGGTGTGCACCACCACACTTGACTCAGTATTCTTATCTGCACATTGGGGAGATTTGTCATGGTACCCATGGCACCATGGATTTCAGAATCCATGGCAAATGGAGGGTGTGAGGATTAACAGTAATGTGTAAAAGCCCTGTTCGTGGTGCCAGACAGGGAGTGCCCAGCCTGTGACAGCTGAGATATAATTTGTATTCAGTGGCTCCACTCACCAAGAAAGGTAACCTACTTGGGGCATGGGAATTCCCTAAGAATTCCACTTCCTGACACAGAGTGAGAAAAAGGGAAGACAGAGAGGTGTGGAGCTCTGTACACCCGAGGCAGTGGGACTTGGAGAGTGTGTCTAGAATCTCAGAACATCCACAGGGCCCCTTCAAAATTGTCCAGCTCAGTCTCCTTCCATTACAAATGGGGAAATTGATACCCGGGTGGCAGAAGAAATTGTTGAGCCAATCAGAGAGGAAGGAGAGAAATAGATTGCTGATTTTCTGTGTTCCAGGCACCACACCAAGGCATACAGTGTTTTATCTAATCCTCTCCGTGTCCGGTGACTCACTTTCCATCATTACTTTCATTTACAGATGAAGGTCTGAGGGCTTCAAACGATCATTCAGCTAAGCAACAAGGGCTGGGGGAGTAGGTCATCACTCATTGTTCTGGGTTCAAAGTCAAGGGGCTGATTTCATCTCCCATGGCTCTTACCCACCAGGCAAACCTGCTTGCTGCTCTTTAATGGCCATGAAATTATTCAGACACACACAACACCCCTGCTCTGAATCCACAAATTCAGTGCAGTGGGTACTAGTACAGGTTCAATATGCCTCATCTGAAATGCTTGAAATCAGAAGTGTTTCGGATTTGGGATTTCCTTCAGATTTTAAAATATTTGCATATACATAATAAATTATCTTAGGGATGGGACCCAAGCTTACACATAAGTCATTTCTGTTTCAGAATCACCTTGCTTGCATAGCATAAAGGTAATTTTTACACTATTGTTAGTGTACTAGTGTTTTGACTATGATTCAACACATGAGGTCAGGTGTAGAATCTTCAACTTGTGAGTGTGTGTGTGTGTGTGTGTGTGTGTGTGTGTGTGTGTGTGTTTGATTAAACCCAGGCCCTCAGCACCAAGCCACATCTCCAGCCCCTTCTGAAATTTTGAGAAAGGGTCTTGCTAAGTCACTAAATTGCCCAGGCTGGGCTTGAACTTCTGATCCTCCTGCCTCAGTGTCCCAGACTGCTGAGAGTAGAGTCATGGGCCACCGCCCTGAGTTCCACTTGTGATGTCACATCAGCACTCAGAAAGTTTCAGATTTGGGAGCATTTTGGATCACAGATTTTGGGGTGGGGGGTGCAGAACCCATATTCCTTTGAGGTAGGCATTTCTGCAAAAGACAAGACTGAGACTTGGTAGCCATGCAGTAGATGAGAAACCTAGGTTCTGGCGTCAGGCTGCAAACCGAAGGCCCCAAGCGAGTGATCCATCCTCCTGACAATGTAGTTTCCTATCTGTAGAGCAGGGACCTTGGTACCACCCACCCCTTCCTCTGGGCGGTGGGGTGCATCAAATGGGATGTGTCATGTGCTGTGTGCAAGGGCTGCCTGGGACATAGTACAGGGACATCCAGATGACAGGGCTCTGTCTCCTGCAGGTGGGCTCCTTTGGGAACGGCACGGTGCTCAGGGGCACCACGGACGTGGAGCTGGTGGTGTTCCTGAGCTGTTTCCACAGCTTCCAGGAAGAGGCCAAACGGCACCAAGCCATCCTGAGACTGTTAAGGAAAAAAGTGTGCTGTTGCCAGGACCTGCTGGACCTCGGGCTCAGTGATCTGAGTGTGGCCCAAGGAGTCCCAGACGCTCTCATCCTCACCATCCAGGCTGGAGAGACTGCAGAGCCCATCAGTGTCACCATCATTCCTGCCTACGGGGTCCTGGGTAAGAGGAGCAGACGCCCACAACACACACCTGCCCTTCCCAGGAGACTTGCAGCTCCCTTGCCTCTCATTCATGGCCATACACAGGCCATATACCTGCATTCATTCACTCCATCCATGTCCCGTACCGGGGCCTGAACCTTCACTGTGCGCCCAGGACTAACACTGGAGCTGTCATGTTGGGAAACCTGGGAAACGGAAACTTACCAGGGAATCACACAGATAAACCTATGGTAGGCTGGGATAGTGCTCCATGCCTATCACCCCAGTTGATTCATAAGATGAGGCAGGAGAATTAAAAGTTGAAGGCCAGTTTAAGCAACTTAGTGAGAACCTCTCTCAAAATAAAAGAGCTGAAGGTGTAACTCAATGATAGAATGCTTGCCTAAGCATGCGCAAGGCCCTGGGTTCAATCCCCGGTGTAAAAGAAATAAGGGGAGGAAGAGAGAAACGGGGGGGGGAGAACAGTGGCAGTGCTCAGAGAAAACAAAAATGGAACAACCTGGATAAGCTCAAAAAGCATGCTCAGGAGTGGACTTTCTGTGCTAAGGATATTCTGGAAGATCCTAGGCCAAATGAGAGAAAGGAGCTAAAATAATAACCGTGAGTGTTTATACTAGGGAACTGGGGTCTATCGCCGTTTTGGCTTTCCCAGCGGCAGATCCTGTGACAAGGATAAGAGGGCAAGCATTTTATGAGATGCCCCAACATTGGGAGAGGCAGGGACCCAAAACACAATACAAGGTATATTGCTGAGGAAGGCATCACTATGAGCAACTGGGCTTCCTGCCTCTGCAGAACTCGAAGCAGTAACACAGAACACATCGCAATATCTCAAGGGGATGCTGAGTGCTCACCCATAACTTCTTACCAGTCTTTAGCTGTAGACTGCTGCCTGGGGCGCTGAATCCCTGACAGTCATTGTTTGTCCTCAGTCCAAGAGTCCTAGATGTTTGAAATAAGCCATGTCTACTACAAGTCCAGCTGAAACAGGCTTTCTGTTGGTCAGCTTTCAGTCACTATGATAAAATACCCGAGATAAACAACTTAGAATGAGGATAGTTTCAGTTTCACAGGTTTCAGTGCATGGTCACCTGGTCGTCTTGCTTTAGGCCTGTGGTGGTGACACAGTATGTCATGGCAGGAGTACACGATGGAGGAAATCTGTTCACATCGTGGTATCAGGGAAGGAGAGAAAAGGAAAGAGAGAAAGAGACAGGAGAGAGACAGAAAGTGCCCCCTTCAGGAGCATGCTCTCAATGACCTAACTTCCTTCCGCATCTCTTAAAAGATCCCACCACTTCCCAATAGCACTACCAGCTGGAGACCAAGCCTTCAGCACTAGGGCCTTGAGGGACATTTAGGAGCCAAATCGTAACAGGTGTATTTCATGTGCTAGCTGCCATTAATTACTGTGGCTGCCAGGAGTTGTTCCATGGAGAAAGTTTCGGAGACAGGATCCAATCTTAGGAAGAAAAAGAGTAACACATACCGTGGAACTGGTTCTCTCCTCGGCCACTGCTTACTTCCTGCAACTTCCTAAATGAATCATCTGGAAACAAATCTAAAATCGATATTAAGGAAAACTAGGAGTGTTGGCGTCTTGGCCACTTTCTCAGCCGTGATACATGATATCCAACGCCCACAATTTGCAGGAGGAGAGGTTGTCTTGGCTCATCGTTGGTAGAGCATTTTTCGTCAATAGTCAACTGGCTCTGAGGCAGGACAGGCATGGTGGAAGAGCCTGGCAGAGGAATGGGGCTCCCAGCACGGCAGCCAGGAAGCAGAGAGTGTAGGCAAGAGGCAGGAGAAGAGACGTACCGTACCCTACCAGGTCGTGCTCACCTTTAACCAGGCTCCACCTCCCAACAACAGTCAGTCATGAACTCGTCAGTCCACTAATTCACCGATGAGTATAGTGACCCATGATCCAATGACCTTCCCAGCCCGTGAGACTTTTGGAGGACACCCAAGATCTAAACCATAACAGTCAGGAATATTCAGGGAGGACAACAGTCCTGGGGGCCTGAGATATGGAAAGCCCAATGTTGGCTCCCCAAAGCAAGAATTTCTCAGGGACAATCAAGCAAAGCAAAGTTTTGGTGTCTGGAGATCCGAGGTCCCAAGTCTCTCTGGAGAGGCACCTCCGATGGATAAACAGGCACTCCCCTAACCACTAATTATCCCTCTGGGCTTCCTAAATGCTCAAACTCTGTCGTTGCTTCCTCTTCCCTCAGGGCCTTCTGTTCCCAACTCTGAGATACCCCCAGATATCTATGTGAGTCTGATCAAGGCCTATGGGTACCCTGGAAATTTCTCCCCATCCTTCAGTGAGCTGCAGAGAAACTTTATAAAACATCGGCCCACAAAGGTGAAGAGCCTCCTACGGCTGGTAAAACACTGGTACCGGCAGGTAAGGGGGGCTGCCAGGATGGAGCAGGAGGGGAGAGAGGAAAGGCAGGGGCCAGGTACCGCCCCAGGAAACTGTTCTGAGATGGGGCACATTGCTAGACTTTTAAATTGTAAAGAGAGCACTCAGTGAAAATGGAAAAGGAAAAGGAGAGAAGGAGGGAGAAGAGAAACAAAAACAGAAAAATAAAGAGGAAAATAGCTAATGCACAGTGTTCTGGTAATCAAGAGCTTGAGATGCTCTGGTTACCACCTAGTATTAGCAATGATAACTTCATTGTGTACTCCGGACCTTAATCGCAGTAAGTTATGTATCTCCCGCTCCCCGCACACCAGTCGCCCTTAAAATGACTCCATTTTTGACTATCATGATCACTACTGAGTGAATAGATCCAGAATAACTACATTTTAGCTTTCACACATGATGTCTGCACAGAACCAAGTAGATTTTAAAATATCTGATGAACAGAGCCATCCAAACTTAGGGTTGAAGACTCAGAAACAAATACAAAAATTGCAAAGATGAAGATGTTTCCCATTTTAAAAAATGGTAAAAGATTTTGGGAAGACTAACCCAGTTTAAAAAATAAAGCAAGCTCAGCCAGGGATTTAGCTCAGTGGCACCATAACTGCCTCACAAATGCAAGGTCCTGAAAGCACGCTGGGCGTGGTGGTGCACACCTGTAATCCCAGTACTCGGGAGACTGAGGCAGGAGGATCACCATGAGTTTGAGGCCAATCTAGACTACAAAGTGAGCTCAAGGCCAGCCTGAGCTACATTTTGAGACCCTGTCTCAAAAAATGAAAGTAAATTAATTAACATAAATAAAAAATAAAGATATAAAAATCACAAAACTAGGGCCGGGGATTTAGCTCAGTGGTTCCGGCACCTGCCTCCCAAGCTCAGGGACCTCAGTTCCATCCCCGGTACAAAAAAAAAAAAAAAAAAAAAAAAAAC